TAAGCCGGGGGAAGGGTTATCGGTCTGTAGTTCCATCTGTTCTTGGGATCTTCCTTTTTGTAAATAAGGGTTACTATGCCTGTGCTGATATACTTCCCTACGCCTTCTACGTTTTCGCTACTTATTCTCAAAGATTTGCCAAAAAGCCTTCCAATATTCCTTAGACAGGCTGTCTCTACCCGGGGTTTTAATCGGCTTGCATGATGGCAGCGCCTCTCTGATTTTTTCATGGGTTAATGGTCTGTCAAAGGCCTCAGCCCATTCCGGGATAATGATTGTATCTAAATACCCAAGGACCCTCCTTCTAGGGTGGTTACCATACCAATCTAGGTGACGTGTGATGCTGTCCCACTTATCTTGCTTATTGAAAATTGTAGCAAGCCCTTAATGTTCAAGGACACTATTCTAAGGCCCAGGGAGGTCGGGCCAAGGAGGTCGGGCCAATGGTCCCTAATCTAGTCCTTCCTCATGCACACTGCCCCCTGGCTTCATCCATTTCGGGTGCTCGGTACAAGCGGTTTCTCGAGCAGGTCGCTTCTGTCCCCCGCATCAGGGCTTTCAACCTTTTGTCCAAGTTCGCCTTGTCCACCAGAAAACAATCTGTGGAACACCAGTGGTGTTGGTCCCGTCCCTTCTGCAGTCATGTCACCTCCCAGCTCTTCATGTTCTAATATTACTCCGATAATCTAATTCAGAATCTCAAATATGGCCCTTCACTTTGCTCCTCTCAGTCCCATCGGACTGCCCGATTTCCTCATGGGTATCCAAAATCGCTGTAAATGGCCAGTTTGAAACTCATGGCTGCGACTTACCTGCCATTCTGCCTCGAGTCCCTCTTGGCTTCACCCCGTTTTTGCTTTCCTAATCCCTGCTGCTCTCCTGTCTTGTCTGGAAATTTCGGATTTTTTCTTTTTTTATTTGGTGCTCACAGGACGCACCCGATTCCTACCTCAACGTTCTTCTTCCTTAGCGTGACCCCTGCTTCTCCATCTACGGGGGCACTGTGGACCCTTACCCCCACGCTAAACACAATCTATAACGGATAGGCAACTGGGGTGCAAGGGAGGATGGGCTGGAGGTTTTCCCTGGCAGGAATCGGCCCTGTGGCGAACTGGTGTGACAGTTACGGACCGATAACCTTGCCCCCTCAATATGCACTGGATAACTAACTACCCATTACGACAACAGATACCCCTAATACAAGGCAACAGTAGGCTGTGCTAGGAACATGTCGCCCGGGTTGGGTCAGGGGGCTGCCTTAGGCAAGACCTTGGTCAGGGTAGGACCAGGAGACACTGCCTGGGGTAGATCCGTGGAATGTTAACTGTCTGACCAACCCAGGGCCGGTGCTCATAAGGAAAGTCCATAGGACTATCATGCTTGGCGACCGAAGTGCCCGTACGACAAGGCTCGTCCGGTAGTGCTTCAACTAGAGATGGGAGGGGTTGTCCTGGCCTAGAGCTGGTGCCTGCAATTTCTGATGAACTCTTAATGTAACCTCAAGGTCCTTCCTTCCTTCCTTCCTTCCTTCTTTTGAAATATTTGGTGAACAGGTGGTGATGCTACTAATCCCTACTTTTAGGAGTACCATATCTTAGCTTAGTTTCTACTGGATGGGTCCCTTTAACACTTTTGTTCTCAAAGAAACTTTTTTACGACGAACCTATGCTAAAGCACGCACCGTCAGCAATACTCCTTACTCCCACCTCCAAGAGCCTCATGAGAGAGACCTAATACAGATATGTGAGGCTGCCATTAACGCAAGGTTGGTGGCCCAGAAGAGAAGAGAAGGGAGTTTGACAATGAGAAGAGGCTGAAGGAGGAAGGGGAGATGATTCAGCGGAAGCTGAAGGGAAGCCAGGAAGGAGAGGTAGATGTCAAAGCCCGATTAGACCTCCTCACCCAAGCAGTCCTCCACTCCACTCAGGAGAATGCTGCGACGCGTGTTGCCGTAGAAAGGCCCACCAGGGGGAATTTAAGAGTCAATGGAATAAATACGCCGTAGCGAACCGCCGCCAGATAGAACAGAAGGCTGCTCATCATGCACATCCGTTAAAGGATATCCTCGTGAGCAAACTTACAGAAGTGGCAGCCGAGGCAAGGGGTCGAGGCGAAGGACCTGGCAATGCGGATGATGATAATGGAGTTGGTGGCAAGAAAGGAGGAGATTGGAAGGAAGATGTGAAACAGCCTGAAGGGGAGAGAAGGGAGAAAGTGAAGGTGAAGCTTCCTTGGACCTTCACGGGGGCAAAGGGTGAAAGTTTTCTGCAATGGGCGGCGGCCATGGATACGTATTTGTACGCGCAGTTAATTCCCCACTTTGACAAGGTGAGCTGGAGTTTGTGCCTAGGGGGAGATGCTGCAAATTTTGCAGTGTAGGCTGCGAGACCATGGCAGCTTACTTGCGACAGACTGAGATCCGGACGTCCTTTAAGGCCCTGAAAGAGAGGTTTGAAGACAAGAGCCAGGCCAGGCGAGCTGAGTACCTGCTCATGAACATAGATAGGCGCCAGTGTCCGCCCTTAAAGCCACCATGGATGAGCTGTTGCAATGCCTCGATGATAGCCTGCCAGCAAAGCAGATTTTGGAGAAATCCGCTAGGGCGTTGCCTAGCCCCCTCAGGTCGCAACTGTATCCCAAAACTAAGGAAGACGGCAGGACCAATGAACAGTTAAGTTAGGAGGCCGTAGAGCAGGCCGGTTTCCTCCAAGAAACCGAATTCTGCCATTTTCATAAGGATCTGCAGAGCAAGGACCATTTCCTGTTGACGTTCGAGGGAGGAGTAGAGGCACTCCCATACGAACAGATAGACTATGGTCTAGATGGAGAGGAGGACAGCCAAGTAGCACA